TTGTATTTTTGTTATGTGTGACTGGAGGTGTCAGGGAAAAGTGAGTGTACTCTCTCTGATTTACCAAAGGAAGGCTTGCTTTCTTGAAGCTTGCACAGATGGTTAACTGATACCAAAGATGTCTGCAACACTGCCTACAAGTTGCCAGAAGGTCAGTGTGAAAATATATTACAGCCCAACTCCATAGCAAAGAAGAGTTATTGTTACCAGGATTTATTAATTCCTGTCCTCCTAACAAACAGTACCTATCAAGGACTTCTTCTGTGGGTAGTCCACAGGAAACAGTTCCAGTTATAGCACCTTTAAAATGTTTATTAAAAAAAGCAATTTTTTAAATGTTTGAAGATTATTCATTTAAAATATTGCAAGCAGAGGGGAATATAGTGCATGAAATAGTCCATTATTGTGCCGTTTAAGTTTAGCTGGTAAGAGGAATCTAAATTGTTTAAAATGTTTATCTCCAGTACATCATTGCTGCTGTACTGTGAAGAAAGCTTTAGTCATTATAAACAGTTAGGAACGATGGTCACTGAAAAATAGCTTGATTAAATAATTTTTAGAGTATGCTTTGTGGATTGAGATTTATATAGCTTTTAAAGAAGATTACCAGCCTAATAGTTGCCTCATCCTGCTAATTTGTTGCTTTCTTATATGTTTTGTAAATATCCATTCTCTCTTTATAAAGAACAGAACTTTTCATGATTTCCCTTGACTGTTAGTCTCCACATGCTGTTCCACAGGTGTGTAGAAAGACTTTAGGTGGTACTTTTTTTTCTGAAATAATTATGTACGTGAAAAAAAAAAAATCAGCCTAATTAAGTACTACTAATCGTCTTCAGATTAATACTTTGGAAGACTTTTAATTAAAATAGATTTCAGATATGGTGAAAATCATATTTTAATTAACAAGATCCAATACTTAGTGCAAAATGTCCAAAATCCTTCAGATATTTTAACCTTAGTGTGTTAAATATTGTAATATTGTAGTATAACAACTAATGTTTTAGTGAAGAAGATGGTTTTGTGGATAAAGACATAAGTTCACATCACAGGTATAACTTCATTGAACTAAAAGAGAAAAATGCAAATCATAAAGGCTTGACTCTGGATATGCATTTCTGTGCTTGAAACTATGGTACTAAGAAGCACTACTGCCCTTCTACTAGTCAAATAGTAAAATAAACCCTCTTTTTACTTTCTGTTGCAGCAAAACATGATATTCTCTATAGATGGAGTATTTTTATGTCAGTTTTAAAAATCTAGTGATTCTGTTTGACGAAAGAGTTTAATAATAATGATGAAAATTTGGAAAGACCTGTAAGGCATGTACTTGGTTCTTGATGATATAAAATGTTTTTCAAGGACTTTTTTTAGATATTTCAGGTATTTTAAAATAAGTCTAGAAGCTTATTTTATACTTCTTCGTACTTTCCTAAATCAGAGTCTCAAATGGGGAGAATTAAACTTTTTTTTTTTTTTAGTACAATATAATTATTCTTTTTTCATTCACAAGTAGCAGGTATTTAAAAAAAATTCATTTGTCTGAGTATGTATCTCCTGGGTAATTTTCTCAAATCACAAATATATCTCGCATATAGTTATGCCAATTAGTTAAAGTTGCCAAAACTTTTCTTCCAATTCATTCTGTAAAGGTTTGCAGCTACTGATCAATTTTAGTTGAGTTGCTTACTGCCAAGTTGTATCTTTATGGCAGGATAAATAAGAATTATCGTAACCATGTCATCAATGATGTTAATAGCAAGAATTTAATAGTAAGAATTGGGAAGGAGTTCTGTTCTCTTAAGTATTCTGATTGTAGAATAAGTATCAGACTAGTTCTATTGCATATAGAAACTAATTGTTTCCGGTACAAAGATTCTGTCATTTAGCTATGGCAATCAGCTAAATGGACTGCATTTTACATGGCAGTCCAACTACTTTGATTTTGCATTTACTTTTAAAAAAAGTATTAAAAGATGTTTCCAAAATTACTGTGATTCATGGAAGTATTGCTGTATTTTAGTAGACATTGGTATGTTCACTTTGTGAAACCTGTCCCAAGAGGTTTCTTTAGCAGAATAATATTTAGTTTTGTTTTAGAAAGAGTCTTTCAGTCACTTTCTTATCTCTGGAGCAGGAGGCCATTTAACTGCCAGCTCCAAGCCAGTCAAATGAGAAATGAAGAAAAAACAGTAAAAACCATCATCACCACCAAAGAACAAAAGATCCTGCAGACTATTTATCAAAGCAATAGTGGTTTTTTGTGTTTTTTTTTTTTTTTTTTAATTGAATCATTCCGGGGAATATGAATAGAAATTGTTTTCAGAACATATCTGCTGTTGTTGTCTGATATGATACTTCCAAGTATTTCCACCCTTTAGCACTGAGAAGCTTGTCTTTATTTTCAGGCATGCGGTGGTACTGTTGTGCATGATGTTTCTCTATTGCTTTTTATTCTGAAGTGTACGTTTTTAAAAGTTTTAAAGCTTCTAAGAAATTCTACTATATTTCTAATACCTGCCTGGGATTTTTAAATCTTTAGCAGTAGTTATATTAAAATGTAGTGGACACTGATCAAAGATTACTGAAAGATAGAAATTCTGTGTCTCATTTAGACATGATTTATTTTAAGTCTTTTCATATATTATTAACATTCCATCATACAATCTATTTTATTTCTTGATGTATTTTCTTCCTTAATGCTTCTATGCTGACTTAAGAATCCTTTTTCTTCCAAGGCAGTGGAAATCTTGATGTTTAACAGCAAAATTTTTGCTTTAATAATCATTTTTTATCAGACTGTAGCAGCAGGGTTTAAATGTGAAAAGATTTTGTATGTAAAAGGAAGAGAAAATCCAGTGTTCCTTGTCTTTGTGTTACAATTTCATTTTTAAATGTTAAAAAAATTACAGTGGACTTCTATGCACTTTTCCAGTGTACAGAAGTGTCTTAATTGCTTTTTTGTTACTGTTCATTGTGACTGATCAAGGACTCTCTGAAAGAAACATACTATTTCAAATATGTTTAAGTTTTTTACAGAGAGTTTTTATAAGTATGTATATTCATGTTGTTTGAAAAGGGAAAATTCTGGTGGTATTTTGGGTAAAAACTATAATTAAAGACAGCTGCATAAAATTACAGTTTCTGTGTTGAATTTTTTTTACTTCTTTCCATTCCATCTCCCATTAGATGGCAGTGTTGTGAATATGCAGCATATTGGTGTTGACATATTGAAAGGAATGCAAGCATTTTTTATACATCTCAGATGCCTTTTCATTATGTATCTTATGAATTTCAAGAGGAGGAAGGGTAAGCTAGAAATGATAGATGGAAGTAGCAGATAAAGAAATTTGCATTCAGTGCACAGAAACCTAACTAGTAGAAAAGTTGCATCCAGTCCTTTGTGTGTTCCAGCTTTTCTATGATTAAACACCCTCCTTGTTTAAAAAAAAAAAATAAAACTAGTAGTAGTAAACCATAAAGCCAGGCTGTACATTTACCAGGTTTTTCTATACGTCTCTGTTTACCTGAAAGAAAATACTGTCTCAGTTTTGCAGTGTAAGCTTTATTCAGCTATAGCAAAGTTCTTTAAGAGTTTTTCCATTTAAGACTGTATGTTTTAGCCAGTCAATTTGCTTTTAATCTGAAAAAATTGTGCTTAGGTTTATGTGGCAATGTTTTGGTAGTGTAGGGGTGCTGCAGCTGTGGCTAATAGCAGAACAGATCAGGAGCTGTCCGCACATTGGACAAAGCCAGATCTGGCTGACTCCAGAATGAACCTGCTGCTGCCCAAAGCTGAGCCTGTCAGGAACTCTGGTGGCATTCATGTGATAGCAAATTTAGAAAGAATAAAAATCACTGTGCAGCAGCTGTGAGAGAAAGGAGTGAGAAAAATGTGAAAGAAACATCCCTGCAGACACCAGAGTCAAGAGTGAAGTAAAGCCTGGGAAAGACAGGCATGAGGGAAGCTGGGTTTAGTTTTGCTCTCATTTCTCACTGTCTCGTATTAATTTACGATAAGTTAATGTAATTCCCTCGAGTCTTATTTTCTCTCTCTGTCCTGGGGGACACCTGAGGAGAAATGAGAGAGCAAGTTGATGAACACCTGGCAGTCAAACAGGGTTAATCCACTATGATAGTTTATGTGCTGTAAGCATGTCGATTTACTCAATGCAGTCTCCTACTTTTAAGTTTTTTGAGGTACTACGTACAGTAACTTTCGTCTGAAAATTAACTCAGAATCTGCAGTATTCCAAATGAAGGCTCCTCCTTTGCATTTCATGACTACTGAGATTTTATTCAAATAGGTCTAATGTATTCCACTCACCTGCATAATTTGGAAAGAAAAACAATGCAAAAATTCTTTGAGGGTCCAAAGTCAGAGACTAGAGTAAAGTTGATGAAGAAAGTACTGCATGAGACTGCATTGCACAAGAGATCAGATTACACAGTTATAGAACACCCTTCTAGGCCTTAGACGTAATGCTTCTCTCTCTTGCTTCTTTTTTTCTGTTTGTAAAAAAAAATGGGCAAAACTGTAACTTGATGTGGTACTTGTATGGATTTATGTTTTAAAGAGTTCCGTGCTGGAACTGTATGTTCCTGTAAAGACCTTTAGGTCAAGTGGACACTACATGAGTTATTTTTAAAAATAGTATTGTGATGTCACTTAAGATACATGCAGTCTCTGGATTCAACATGGTAGTTTGCTTAAAACTATAAAAAACAACTAATAGAGCAGAAAGAAATGCTATAGTTTCTTTTTGGTCTTAACTGTAGGAATTAATGAAACAGTGGAATCCTAGTGTGATGCATTGTTCAGATACTGTATTCTCTTGAATAATCCTTTCCCCCTGAAAATTGAGAAGAAGGGAAAAAGGAAAATTTTGATTAAAGTAGAATTGGCTTCCACATGTAGGATTTTTATTCAGGACTTTTTAAACTACAGCTGTGGCATATTCCATTACGTGTCACCTACAAATTCCTGTCTTCTCTTCCAGTGCACTTGTAGGAAAGACATGGTGTCAATATCCATGGATATCTTTGTGAGGAAGTTTCAACCAGATAGGTACCGGCTGTGGAAACGAGGCAAGGATTTATATACCATTGATCATACGAAACCAACACCTGAATCAACACCTGAAATAAGGACCTGGCTACGGAGAAGAAAGAAAATACAGAGCTTTCCGAAGAGGTATTTGGTTTCTTTACCCTTTATTTAATCTTCTTTAATATGATGCCAGTTTCTTTTTGTTTTCTTTTGGCAACTTTCTTTGATGTTGTCTTAGTTTTAGCCAGGACAGAGTAAATTTTCTTCTGGTAGCCATGAGGGAGTGGAGCCTGGATCCATGCGAGTGTGCCTAGGTTAGTTTTCTATACCACCCATGTCACCGCTCCAGGGCAGAATTTAAGGGATTCTCGCTTTGGAGAAGGAAGGGGATGTGGTGTGTGCAGAGGGCCCAGGGAACCGTAGTGTTCTTTGTCTCAGCTGTGTGGCACCAGGCTGTGTCGGTTGGACGCCATGAGCATTTTGCATGTAATCACCCTCTTTTATACACTTTTGTTATTAGTATTGTTGCTCTTACTGTTCATTTTCTTATTTCATTACTGTTTCCAGTAAATTGTTATCTCAACCCATAATCTCTACCTTTTCTGTCTCTCTCTGTCACAGGAGGGAGTGAGGGGAGGGTAGTGGCTGCATGGAGTCTAACTTTCAGCTGGGCTTAAACCACAACACATATTTTCTTTGAATTCATTTACTTTAGATGAAAATTATTTTTTCTGTTTTCTTTATTAAGATGAACTTGGGGATAAGCAAGTCTGTTTCAGAGTGTGAAAAATTAATTCAACTTAAAAGTTATGTATATAGCTGAAGTTAATGATCATGGAGAGCATTAACATGAAGTGTTCCAGTGTTGCATTTAGAATATTTCTTTAATGAAGATTATTGGTGTTTTAGTAAGGATTACAAGGTGTGGATGGTTGCCGTTGTTTCTAGTGATCACTGCAACCAAAAGACAAGGGAGAAGTCTGTTAAGAGCTGAGGTAAAGATTAAATGGGAAAAACTTATCATAAAGCTGTGGCAGAATCCCACCAGCTGTGTGAAGTCTCTAGTAAAAGTCTTAGCCCTCACTGCCATCTAACTTCAAGGAAATATGGCTACCTATTTATCACACTCTCACAGTGCTGCAGTCAAAACCTGTCTATGTCTGCCACAAGTCAATGGCGGATCATAATGTGGCATGAGAAAGGCCTAAGTCTGAGTTGCTGGTCCTGACACCACTAAGAAAATTAGGAGAATAAGGTTTTTCAGCTTGTCATTGAAGCTGTAAAAGCTTTGATCTGTTAAAGCAGTTTCATAGCTATTTTCTTGATATGCAATACGGTTTTGTTTGCAATGCGCAAACATTTTTTGTACACTTGTGCTTTCCGGTCTTAGTGAACAGGATCTTTATGGATTTTCTTCTTCATTATCTAATACAGATCTACTTAATTTCTAGCCAAAGGTGGGCAGTTTTATTGGTATCTGCTTAACTACATAGTGCAATTTTCTGGGTTGAAGGTAATACTGAATTTTTAAGACCTTTTTCCTCCTTCAGATCATTTTAGCATGTAGTTACTTTTTAAACTTGGTCTTAAAAAACTAAATTTCCTTGTTTTCTTTGTAAGTTTTTGAGGAAAAGGATAGGAAAGCCAATCTGTAAAGAAAAGGAGCAACTCTCACTGTAGTGAAACATTATAGCTGGGTAGGAGGGGTTTGTGAGGTAGAATCACTTCTTGAAGACAATTAGTGAAGCAGCTGAACAGCCAATTTCTTAATATAATACTAACCTGCACTCACAGAGAGAGTGATTCTGTTGTTTAGCCAAGTGAGTGCCATTTTGTCCTGTGGTAGGTTTCCCTGTATGTATTGTACAGTGGAAATGCAAATTCCCAATTGCACTAGAGTGATTTATTTGGTAGTACCCTTACAGGTAGCCAGTTTTGACTAAAAAAAATGCTTTCTAATAATTGTGTTGAAAGTTTTATCATAGGAACACATGGGCTGATTTATGCACTTAACCCTCCTCTCCCCCACCCCCTCACCCCCAAAGTGAGTTGGTTCCAACCCATATCAATAATTCAGTGAGATTTGGATCCAGTATCTCACATTAAGGTAATAAACACAAGTCCAATGCTATTTAAATCTTTAAGTGGCTTTTGCTCGGTGTGCAACGTGAAGGAGGATAAAATGTTTATTCAGCTTCATTTCTAGTGAAATCTATCACTTGAAATTGTCATAATTTTGATTACGAGATTAATGCAAATTCCAGCAGAGTGAAAATAAAAATACCTATGGGAATCTTCATGAATATAGTGATAGGGAGAGCTTAACTCTGGCATTTATGACTGAAATACTTTGCTACTGTATAACATCTAATGATTGCATGTAAACAGTAATAGTATTTTCTGTTATATTGCAATGTGAATTGGTGGTCTTCTCATGCTTTGGCAAATTTTCTGTAAATCACTATTTTATAGAGAGGGTGTTGAAAGATACTCATTGATGGACATAGAATAAAATGTAGCAAAATGTTTTTCTGGTGATATGTAGAGTCTAAAATGCAAGACCTTTATAAAAGTCCTAATTTACCTTTTATCACTAATGTGTTATGAGCTTTGAAACCTGCTGTGTGATGAAGCACATTAAAATCTCCTCCTGTGTCACATAGGTGAATTTGAAACTGGACTAATCTTCTGTTATATTTATCCTGGGCACATAAATTTCTGATGGGTTTGCCATTTGTCCTGCCCTAAGCTTTCACTTCTACTTCTGAGGGAGCAAAAACTTACACTGAAAATTGAATTTCAATTTTTTTTTAGCACAGCATTTTGAGATATATTGCTTGATATTGTAGCCTTTCAAAATATTTGGTGATCATAATTTTTACCTTTTTCGGGTGCTTGTTGTTTGTGTTAAAATGCATCTAAAATTTCCAAACAGATCTGATTTTATAGGGGTATTCAGACGAGTGTTTTATTAGCATTGGGGCTTGGAAATATCAACTGATTTTAGTGCTACTGAGAGTGCTTTGTCTTCATTACTTCTGTAAGGGTAGTTCTCTTTCAGGTTCAAAAGAATGATTTATTAAAAAGCTAGTTTAAGTAATAGTTACTTAAAGACTATTTTACTTTTAGATTTTAACAACTTTGCTGTAGAATGGTGATAAAAGATTAGAAGGTTAAATCCAATCAATTGTTAATCTATCACTTAATATATTGTAACACCATCTCAACACAAAAAGATGAAAAATTGTCAGTTTTTTACCACTTTAAGCAGGTGAAAGGGACATATATATTGGTAGATATTTTATCTTATCTGAGACAGACTTTCAACTCTGACAGCAGTATCTCTTATAACAGCTCCCAGCACCCCAGATCTCAATCTAGAAAGCTTAAAACTCCAGAGGACAAGAGAGTATCTGCTGATGCAGAAATCATCGTGACTGAAGCAGCTACTGCTGGCTTCAAGGTCAGTGAAGAACCTGAAAAAAAAGGGAGAGTGATAAACACAGGAGTGCCTTCTGGGGAAGAAGAAAACAGTAGTAGAATGCAGCTGGATCAACATTTGTTGGATCATGTCAAGGTTGCAGGTGAGATAAGGACTGATTATGTATCACATGTAAGTTGTAGGCTGTTGATACTCTAATACCACACATTTGTGGATGTTAGATCATAGTATTTCCCTAGAGTAGCATACTAAAATACTTATGTATAAAGTTATGCAGAGAAGATGATATTCAGTTAGAATGAGAAAATACCTAAATTAATACTCTGAGCTGAGAGTAGTATGAAGTTTTAATGAAGTGTTTTTAAAGGAACAAAAAGAATGAGGATTTGTAAATTTTATTTCTTTAGTGGACTCATACATTTTAGAGCAAAATCTTTTTTATATGGAAATGATACAAAATGTCCGAACACAATTCAAACAGTAAAGAACATATATCCTTGCCAATATGCTACATGTATTTACACGATGAACCTGCACAGTAGAAGTGGTCTTTACCTGTGCACAAAAATGTTCTGTTTTGAGACTCCAGGTTTCTTTTTACATCCTGTTGAACTATCTGACAGTGCAAGTTATAAAGGCCTTGGAAAGCCAAAGATTTTTTTTTCTCCCCCCCAACTTTTTTTATATGAATATACTTGGTTTATTCTGGGCTTAATTTATTGTATTTTACATTTCATTGTAGTTAAGATGTAGTTCTGCATTCCTGTTGATAAAGGCAAATTTCAATTTTAAGTTTGTGGGCAGTCCCATTTTGTTTATATTGCTACTGTATATTTACTTGCGAATTGCATATAGAGACTATATGTTGATACTTATTTGGAGGTAGTAATCACCATAATTGATTCACATAAAGATAACAAAGTGAGTGTTGCAATATGAAGGCTTAGAAATTCCTGGATACAGATTATTTGCTGCTCCATCAAAGCCTTTCCAGGTCTGTTCTTATGGGCTTTTTATTTAAAGGTGCTTTGGCTTTACAGCTTCCCCCAACTTTTCAGTAAAGTTTTGGAATGTTTGTAACCACACAGAAAACAGTATTTAGTTGGCAACTATTCTGTGTTTATTGGCAAGGGAAGAAAAAGTGGAGAAGAGAGAAGCTGCCCTCTCTCCTTTGTCTTATTAAAGGCTGATGCCTGGATGTTTTTAGGAAAAAGGACGTTTTTAGGTATGATGGTGGAAACTCCGGTACTCATGTTGAAGAAGGTAGTTTGTTCTGCATTATCTCTGGCCAGTATGTCTGTTATACTCAGTTGAGGCAGTATGGTTCGTACCCAGAGATTACATTTTGGTATTGGCTTTCTATTACTGAGTATTATATTCATTTGACCTGAAAAGGAAAATTTTCAGAAAAACAAGTTCAAATAACCATTGTAAAGAAGTAAAGGGAAGGAACTTTACAGAAACTGTTTTGTTTAATATCTTGGATGTGCTGCTGAATCAGAATTCACTGCAGTGTTTACCACAGGGTTCTTCAGGAATATGTTTTTTAAGTGACCTCTCTAGCCCATTGTTCTGTCTTTCCAATGCAAGCATCAGCAGATGAAGAATTTTTGTAAAGTAAAATCCACACAATTTCACTCTTCAGCATCACTGGAATATACAATTGTGCTATTTTTAAAAAAAAAATAAAATTATGCTAATTGCTTTGCATTTTTAGACTGATGCTGTTGTTTTCAAAATATTCTTGGTGTCTATTTGAAATATGTCTTCATAATTATGAACCATTAATCCTTGCTTATTTTCACTTTTAAAGCAGGCATAATAGGTATAAAATGCAGGGCATAAAGTTCAATATACCAGACTTTTGTTTGTTTTTTTTTCCCAATGAGTCAAAGTGCATATGGGCTGTCAGAATAAAGAAGATACATGAATATTGATTATTTTGTATGACATGAAGACCTGTTGTAATTCAAATGCAAAATACTGATTAAATGATTAAAACTACATTTCATACTCCAAACTCAAACCATTTACATTTAATTTATTTTTTGATAAAACTCATACTCCACATTTGTGTATGCCCTTCCACCAAATGCTTTTCTGTATGATTTCTAAATGAGGAACCATGCTTTGAATTTGAATAATGTAGATTGCTGTGAAATTCGATTTGGTAATGTAAAGTGGGATTTATTAACGAATCATATTTTTGATCTATAGGAAGCCTCACTTCAGACTCAATTTTGAGCCCTATTCCTGTAAAAGAGAAAACAAAAATGGAAGATGAGGACATACCGTACCATAAAGCAGGGGGACAAACTGCTGAAGCAGAAAATCCAGATAAACAGGAAAGTGTCTTGATAGAGGATGATATCAGCAACCTAGAGAACTGTGGAAGTAGTTTGGAACATGGAGAAGTACCCGTTGTAAAAAAGGATGAAGAAGATGGCATGGAAACATGTAGTAGTGTATGTGAAGCAAATTACATCATAATAGTAATATATTCTTGATTTAATGAAATATGAATGAGAATTTTTCTAATGAGACCTGATATCCATATTAAAGCTCTTAAGATTATGTATGATTTTAATCAGATGATAATTTGTACACGTTTTGAAGAGCTCAGGCAGAGTGGGAATTTTGATTCAAAAGCAGAATGTTTCTGGAGGCTTGCTTATTGACATATTTTTCCCTGTTATTTTAGACATGTAGTAATTTCACTTTATGTCTGTGACTCTGAAGTGTCAGCAACTATTCTCAAGCTATTCCCATATTCACTTGCTGCCAGTATGAGCAAGGCTGTGAGCTTCGGTTACTTACTATTCTTGAATTTTGGAAATGGCTTAAAATATCTAAAAGAAACACTTGAAGGAAAAGATTCCGCTATTGAAAGGAATGTATATTTTCAGTTTTTGAACAGTAGGTTTAAAAAATGTTTCCTGCTTGGGGCACCTACAGACACATGGCCTTTTTTCACCTCCAGGTGCCATCAGTAGCTGGTTTACTTTGGTATTTTCCCACTGGCACTCAAATGTGGAGTTGTGAAGGGTGCACTTCAGGAGTTTGTAGCGTTGGCCTTAGTTCTTGAAGCTTGAATAACTTCAAGCTGAATGTGCATAGGAATGTTTGAGGGAGGAAGGAATTCCTTCATATCTACACATTAATCACATATCAGGATTGCACTTTTAAAATTAAAAGATATAGTCTGAATTAGAGACAAATGTAGTATTGGTACACCAAAGGTTCTTCAAGTACCGTGGTAGTATTTACAGACTTGATGCCTGTGCTTGTTTACAGAAGTATGTTTTTGTTCATCATAATTAACTTTGCAGAACTGCACACTAAATTAGTTATGTTTTTTCCTTTTCAGTCAGAGGAAGTTGCAAGAAAGAAAATATCTAAGAGTTGGCGTCATCCGCTAAATAAACCACCAGCTAGATCTCCCATGACTTTGGTTAAACAACAAGCAACTAGTGATGAAGGTGAGTGTACTATTTAGTATATTTTTCTGTCTTCATGAGACCATATTTATATGCATTTGGAAAAACAAGATGAAATAATTTTTTTCCGTATGGATTAAGTAAGCATTTGAATCCATAGACATGTCATCTACGTTTTGCCTGTTTTCACTCAAATTCTTCTAAAAACATTAGATCTACCTTTGTAAAAAGCTCTGAAAAATAACATACCGTTTTAAAAAAGGTATATTCCTTATTAGAGCTCAAGGCAGTTTTGTTTAAGAACAAGATTTCAATTGTGGAAGCATAGATGAAAGTGACATAAGAATCCTTCGAGTATGAATCTTGGGTGTAAGTCATAGTCCCTTATGCTGCTTTAAAGCTACCTTTTCCTTGTCTCCTTTTTGATAGACTTGGACATTTGGGACGTCTTAAGCTGTCAGTGTCTTAAGGTACTATACTTCTAATTCAAGAAAAAAGGCTCTAGTTTTTTTTGGTATTATCAAAAGCTTATCAAGAGTGTTTACATGTGTTGTGATCTCCAAGCTTTTACTTGGTCTCATATGAAAAGAATTAACATTTATCTCCCTATAGTTTTGGTGTCACAAAGTGTGGTGGGGGGAAACAGTTTTCCCCCTGAAGTTACAAAATGGTAAAACCCCAGGGGGTGGTGACCCTTGAAGTTTTGAGGTTTTACCCAATGAGCGCTTTTGCAAAATATAAACATATCACAAGCAGAACGGAAGAGAAGGTAGTTGTAGTGGTTGTAGAAGAAGTAGCCATGTTGTGAAAGCCACGAGCAGAAGGGGCAGGAGCCCCTGGGGGGGCTCTGGCCCCCCCCAGCCCCGGCTGGGGGCTGCAGGGACTTGGAACAGTGTAAGACTGAGCTAAGTGTCTGTAGCTGAAAGCCGAAGGAGTTTTCTCCACCGTAAGTAGGCAGAAGGAGCAGCGGCAGAAACAGCACTGACTGGAGGCTATGGCAGAGAGCCAACAGATAAGACCAAGCAGCAGCAACAGGTAGGCAGCAACACCGAGAGAACTCCTGGAAGGAGAGAAAGAGAAAGAGAGCCAACAGCAGAGAGAGCAGACCTAAGCTCTACAGACAGAGTTTTTAGGGTAAGAACTGAAACCAAAAACCCCCTAAAATCCCTTTGAGACCCCTCCTAGGAGGAGGGAGATGGACTCCGGCTTGAGAGGAGTCATAGAGTGCAGCATGCACCAAAGAGAGGAACTGAGAAGCTCAGGAGTCCTGGAAAACTGAACCAGGACAACCAGATGGAATGTGGAGGGGGTGACCTTGGCCCCCCTTACCACTGCAGCCAAGCTATGCTAGCAGCCTGAGATCAGAGCACAGAAGCTCTGATAGAACTCTTGAGGCAAAGGCCTTCAACTGAAAGCTGCCCGAGATGTTCTGACTCAGGGGTGAATCCCCTGAGGAAGGGATCTTCATGGGGGTCTTACACTCCATGATATGACCGCGGTGAAGCAAGTTTTGTCCCTGCTACACAGTCCACGGAAGAGAAGACCCTTGTTTGGAGATGACGGGCCAAGGGACTTGGATACCCCCTCGTGTACTGTCAGAGATCCAGATACAGTGCTGCATGAGAAGAAAAGATGCCTGCTGCCTTAGAGACGTTGCTGCTCTGAGAGTGGAAAAGATCTTTCCTTCTTCCCTCCTGGACTTTTATTTGGAGGGGAGAAGAGATTTGATCCATTGTAAATACTCTTATGTCATGGTAGAGATAGCTAAGATTGTATATAATGTATTGTAGTATTTATTTGTACAGTCATTGTAATATATTCCCTTTCCCCCATTTTGAGTCTCATGTGGTGTCTGGAAAACCCATCTCACATTGGGTTGAGATGTGGGATGGGGCTTGGACTAGGGAATTAGATTCTGGGGTTCTCAAACCATGACACAAAGCTTGCCTTTCCTTCTGCCTTCCGCCTTTCCTTCTGCCTTTCCTTCCCCCTTTCCTTCTACCTTTCCTTCCCCCTTTCCTTTCCTTTCCTGTCCTTTCCTTCCCCTTTCCTTTCCTTCCCTTCCCCCTTTCCTTTCCTTCCCCCTTTCTTTCCCCCTTTCCTTCCCCCTTTCCTTCCACCTTTCCTTTCCTTTTTTCTTCCCCTTTTTCTTCTCTTCTCCTCTTCTCCCCTCCTTTCCCCTTTCCTTTCCCCCCCGTTTCCTTTCCTCCTCTTCCCTTTTCAAGTGGTGACCATGAAATTCCATTGTTTAATCTAATATCATAAATTAGGAGAGTTGTGTTAGGCAATCATTTTGAATGGCTTGTCCAGATCTTCACTCTAGATTGCAGATGTGCATGTTATTGTGTACTGTATGGTACCTTCAGGCATTTCAAGTGATAGAATGAAATAGAACCATGTCCATAAATAATGATGCTAAATGACAGTGATATATAGAACAGAGTTCTGTACAAAATAAATAAGTAAATATTTCTGCAGCCATGAAATTTAGTGCTTCGTAACTACATACCATAGTGGTCATAAACATTAAAACAATACTTGGAACTTCTCAGGTGCTCCTTTTGAGAACTTACTTGAGTACTTTTACTTTAGAGAGCCACTGTCTTGCGCGGACAGGCTACAAATCTAAGAGATTTACTCAAGATAGGGATTTGCTTCTCTGAAGTAAATAGAAAAAGTAGATCTGCTTTATCTAGCAGTCACATATATAGCCACCCAAAGTTGATGAATAAAGCTACTTTATTCTATCAAACATGACTGTAAAGCTTATTGAACTGTGTGTTGAAACTATCCATCAAAATGGAAAACAAACACATTCCTTTTTCATATCGCCTTTGCATCTTAGTTCTGCAAAGCACAAAATTTTCAGATGCTCTTCTCCAGAATCTTTTCAGTTAGCAGAGCTGGAGATGAGTTCTCACACTCCCCTAGATTCTGATACTCTGGAGCTGATACCATGTCTTTGACTACAGGTCTGATTCCAGCATTTCTGTATACTTCAGTGTTTACCTGCACTTCGTACTTGATTTGTTTTTTACCCCTCAATTATTACTTCTTGTTAACAGTAGCTGTTTCTTACAACTACAGATAAATTTTCTTGACTTCAGAGAGAGGCAACATGCCTGTTAATTGATTCTTCTTCTTGTAACTAATGACTATTATACTTTCAGTTATCCCAAGTTTAGGCATTGTTGAGCTGAGTGCTGTAATTTCAACTGGCCCCTCATCAATACATCTCCCTCCTTGTATCAACCCTGAAGTAATTGATTTGTGTCTTCTGTCTCACTAGTTTTGGAAAGCTATGCTCTCAGTTTTTATCTGAGCCACAGTTTTGCCAGGCATGATACTTCAATTAGCTGTTAAGCATCTTTCTGAAAATTAGACACAGCTTAGACCCACGATCTGTATCATATATGAATATGTTTGGATACCTTGAGGGCTAGACAGAGTGTATTTCAGAAAGTGTTATGGTAATTTACAGGATGATATTAATATTAAGATTCATCTAGTAAAGTAATTAAAGATTTAAATATGTGGTAGGTTGCAGTGAAATTGCTCTTTTTTTAATTAAAGATTATATTCCTTTTGGCTGCTGCTGATTTTTCAACATTATAGTTAAAACATAGTGTAAAATTCCTATTTAAGCATGGATTGTGTATGATATAATCTGGCTAGATGATGATGTGATGACAGTTGTATCTCAAGAATTCTGCTAAGATGAAGACATTTTCCATCTCATCAGTAGCTTGCCAACTTCCTAGTGTATTAGTTTTATGTCAAAGTAGCAGCGTCCCTATACAAAAATCTGTATACCTTGAAATCTTTACTCTTTTCATGATGATTGCCCTCCTGGTAGATAAGGGTGTATTTTTGTTAGAAAAGAAAGAGTTGTCTTAGTATCCTTTCACGCTGTTAAGCACCTCTGTACTTACTGATTGAAGAAAGTAATTAAGAGTTTTATTGAACGTGGCAGTTACTGGTATTTCCTAGCTGGAACTGGAAGTATTATTATTTTCATGTGTCTGTTTCTCATTGTAATCTAGTTTATCAGCTGGCTTTTGTAACAACGCTAGAAGAGAAACAATAAATTTTGGGTGAGCAGAATGTTTACATCTAAGGCAGAGACTGAAGCACTGCTGAAGGAAACGGGCAGACTGAAGCCTCATTACCTTTCCTGACACATGCTGGCATGCAAGTTAAAGATATGTGGCCAGATGAGTGCCAGTCAAAGGAGATTTTTCTGATTTTGTTCAAAATTGTTTGTGTCAGGTACCAGAGAAGTGGTCAGTATCAATGTACTAACTACTATGTTTTTCTTTATGAAGGTGCTTCATCCATATGCTGTAGTTAAGAGAAATGTAATTCAGCATGCATATTTACTTAGTTCTTGTTCTCTGTGTTTTTTGAGCAAAAAGGATGCTGGTTGAGACTATGATAGTTTAGTCTCTTGGTGAAGTAATTTCTGAGTTGATAGATTATTTTACAAGGAGAATTTATGTATTGATACATATTTTAATTTCTCTGGGTCCAGTAAAATCATAACTGTAAACAAAATGAAGAAGATACAGGCTAGTGCTGTTATGAAAAAATAAGAAATTGCAGCTTTATATTTCATCTGCAACTTGTATCACTTTCCACAAGTTGGATAGTCTGTAGCCATTTCTAATTCAGATAATTTATATTCAAATTAATATATTTGAAGTCTTTCAGGTACTAGAGTTCTATTAGGAAGTTTCTATGAATAGAGGTGATCAGAAGCTGTTAATAATTTCAAGGCAGCATTCTTTGACACTGTCAGCCGTTTCAGAATCATAATTTTGCAAATAGAATATTATCGTATTCGGCAGCATGCTAACATCTTAGCAGAGACTTTCTGGATTCATTTTTAATGCAGAGTCCTTTGGCAGAAATTATTGTTTTTTCACAGGATCACTTGGACATTGGAGTTTTGTGATTTCTTTTTTATGAGTGCATATGCTGCTGTATATGTATATTTCTTTATGAAAAATAGTTGGGTTAATTGTTTATTTGTTGTCTAATGGTGGGGGTTTTTTTACTCTCCCTAAAGCCTTTCCTTATGTATGTTTGACTTCTGACTCTCTCTTGTTACGATTGTTTTTGTGGAATTAATGCTTAAAGGACTGAGCACTGAGAAATATCGTGGACTGGGGAATCAATCTCAGAAATTGTAACTCAGGCTGCCAGTTTAAAAAATATGTACAGCAGTACTGTGTGGGCTCTATGTCACACTCAACATACTAACAATTTTTACGTAATGAACCTTGGTCTTATGCTCAATGCATTATATTAACTTGTGGTAATAATATTCTGTTGTACTTAATGCAGCTGTATTTCTGCTCACTAAGCAATAAAAAAGCAAATTCAGCAGAAGAAGCAAGCATAGTGACTTTGGATGCGCATTGATTGATCCCAGAGATTTCTTTCCAGCAGTATTTGGGCATGCAACATTAGAAACTGTTTTTAGATTCAAGTTGACTAAAATTTCCCATTACCCTAAATGATATAATTATAATGTATAGACTGAATTCAGTATAGGGCTCTTTGTTTATGGTTTTTAGCATTTTAAATATGATTCAGATTTCCAAATAATTTTGCTTTCATTACTTTGTAAGATAAAGATACAGAAAGAGAGCACTTCTTTGAGTGGAAGCAGTAGCTTCTGCTATGACATGGAGCAAAGCCTCTGTTTTTATGTTCACTGTCAGCATCCTGTGATATGTACTTCATTTGATGCTAGTTGTCAAACCATTTAAGGCTTGTTCAGTAATGTCATAAATAGGTTAAGCCTGCTTAAGTAGGAGAAAATTACACTTGTAGATGCAGTTACAATTCTTTTGTTTTAGAGCTTAAAATGCAGGATTCTGCTTGAAGATTCTCACTGATATCAGAAAGAAATGTTAACTTTTTCCTGATGTTGCATAAGAGATAGATAAGAATTTAACCAATTGAGAGAGGCATGTTTATATTTACCACATTGATATTATAATTTTCAGTATTGCTTTCCCTCTCATACTGTTTTGAGTGGTTTTACTCCTTTAAAATATTTTGCTCTTGTGTGAGTATGAGTTAATCGAGTTAATAATTTGCATTTTTCATACAACATTATCATCTAGCAGTGAAGAGTCCAGCACTATCTACCACATGCAACAGTATTGCTATGCTAGAAAAATGTATTTTCTGTCCTTTTCTGGGGGTACTTACATTGCTTCTGATTTGTTTAAATTCAGTTTTCAAGATACAATTACCATAATTAATAAAAAATTCTAACACGAAGCATGGGGGATTCTGAAGACTTCCTCAGAAACTTTACAAAAGTGTGGTTTAATCTTTAGTAGGTATTTAGGAAAGGGAGGCGTTGAAAGGTCAAATACAAGCTTTTCCTGAATGTCCACTACTCTTGTCAACCTTGTGGGCCAGCATCTGATCTCCAAAAATAGCAAAAACTGACAAGTCTGATTATTTTCCACTGGCAGCTCTTGTCCCTTGACATCTGTCACAAGCAGCTCTTGTCTTCCCTAGAGTGGACACCTACAGAATCTAAGAGTAGCCATTATGTGGGTCATTATGTTGATACAAACCAGTTCTTCTCACATTTATGCCTCATTTGCTGGACAGTGGTATATGTTGTGATCATTAAGAGTCATTGTCCTCTGGGTGAACCTTGCAAGTCTAATTGCATAACTTTCTTAGCTTTAAAATACAGAATTTTACCTCTTAAAAGACCAGTTAGAACAGCAGTCTTGTCTAGAAAGGCATGTATAACTTCTCATTATCAAGTGTGCCAAAATGACAGTGTATTTCCTGCTGTATTAGTGCAGCCTCTCAGTAGCCTTCTCAAAGGTAGCTATGGAGTTGATAGTTAAACTAGATATGACATTTACCGAGGAGACAGATACCTCTTCTGTAAGGTTATTTTCTGGAGCTGAGTTTCTGTTTCTGTAGTTATGGTCTGAAGAGAAACATTAAAATCGTGTGACTTGCATTAATCAAAGATTAATTCACTGCAGAGTTTTGCCTATTAAGTTATTCTAGTAGTAATTTTTGTTTTTCTAGCCCATGGAATTAGCACCGCCTTTGTCAAAATCTGAAGCTGCTTTGTAAACCAGCAGTGCCGTAAGGGATTTAATTTTAAAACCAAAGGGGTTTTACTAAATGGTTTTTCTTGGCTGAGAAGTGTGCGTAATATATTTTTTTTAATGTACAAAATAGTTACACTTAAGAAATTGATCCTTGAGGAAGTTTGAATGCAATTGTTGCCTAGTGTATGAGGTGTTTATGGTTATTTGTTTTAGTGATCTGTGCAAGAACTGTAGCTTGAAGCTATTAATTTCTAATTCCAGTTTGGGAATTGGTTTGTCATATGAATTTGGACCTGTGATCGAGTCTTTCTGGTTTGCATCTTCCATATGTAACTTATGAAGATAAGTACCTGAGGCCTTGATTCAGTGAAGAACTTAAGCACAATCTTAACTGTACACATTCAAGTAACCTCGTTCCTCAAATTTCCTTTGTGTTTTTCCCACAAGCACTTGTGCTGGAATAGTATGTTGACGTAGGCTAAATTTGTGCTTCATACCATAAAATGTTTTTCCCAGTTGGAACTGTTTTTTGTCTCTTGAGTAGCATAAAACAAGAGTATAGTGGCGATTCTGCTTTGTAATATTTCTAAAACACTTTAACAGCATAATAATTGGATATTTATTTGGTTATATATTACTTGGCAGTATGGTCAATAAAGATAGATTTTAATTTCCAGAATAAGGAAGTACTACCAAATAATTCTGTTGTGTTTCAGTGACTCTTTTTATTAATGGGCAAGAGCATGATGATTGGGAGAAAGTTTTCTGTGTTTTTCCACTTTTGTACAGATGTATATCCTGGCAAACTCTGGTGTTTTGTTAGTAAATCAGTAAATGTGTATATGGATGACAATAGCAGTCCCTAAAAATTCCAACCTAATTTTAGCTATTAATCAAGATTTCTAGTCATAAGTACAGTGACCACAAACAGGTTGAATTAGAATGCAAATATTAATTTTATTCATTAAAAATTGTGAAAAATACGGGCGGGAATGGAATGAGAAAGCAGCTGTTAAAAAGTTTTTTACAGTACTGTGAATTAAAGCTTTTAAAAAGAGTAAGATATCTGCCAGTCTTTAGCTTGTAGTGGTTTTGCACTGACAGCTGTGTTTTTTACTGATAGGCTATGCTGTAGATTCCAGAAGGGTGGTTTTTTTTTTTTTTTTTTTTTTTTTTTTTTTTTTTTTTTGTTTTTGTTTATTTCTGCTGTGATTTTGATGAGATGCCTTGAGTTATAAATACAGTGACTATTCTTTAAACTTACAAAGTGTAAAGGACAGGTGAAATTACTGGAATTGTTTTAATGTACATATATAATAATAGAATTATTTTAAGTAATAATGGAATTATATATGTATATATGTATATATGTATTGTTATATTATTATACATATGTATATATGTATAAATAATAATGGAATAATAGAATATAACACAAATATGCTATAAATATTTCATGTTGGCAGTTCCTACAGATATAAGAACATCTCCCTTTCTGTGGCCTCCTGTCCACATTTTAAAAAACAGTTGCTTGACTAATGGGTCACCTTTGAGCTTAGTTTCTGGAGATGGTAAGTAGCTGAATTTCTGGAGTCACTAGATGGTTTATGGATTCTAATTCATCTATAAGAATTTGTTGCTTGTGCTTCATCTCAGGTAGCCAGAATTAGTAGACATCTTTATCAATTTGAACCTTAACTGTTACGGTTATATTCTTCATTCCATATGCACAAAAAAGTTGTGCAGCTATTTAGGGAATTCAGTGAATGAAAGACTGATTTTTACCCCTTGTATTTATTGTGTGCCTTTATGATCCACAGTCTCATGAAAAGAATTATTTTGTTCCAGGAATTAATAAACAAACAAAGATGGTAGTTTTCAAAATGGCAATGCTATAGTTCTGTAAAACTGAATCTCTGTGGTCTGAGCCCTCAGAGCTTTCTCAAAGTTTATCAGCATCATAGCATTGTAAATCAAATAGTTTGTAGTTACTTTGACATTTGCTAGAGAGAAAAGTTGAGATCCAGTAGAGCCCGAGAGGGTCATTTTACATATGCCACATATAGAAAATACAGTGCATAATAGAAAGTTTACTTATTTAAGTTATGTTATTTAACTGTTCCTTTTTCTTGTTCTAGAATGCTATGTATTAATTTCTCCTAACTGATGCACTGCTGCTCACAAGTAAATACCCAACAGTCTTTGAAACCCTGTTTTTTCTCGTTTTTTTAACTTTTTAGAACCTTTCAGTTTTTCTCATTCATCTAAAGTTTTGGTGGGATCTGGGCTTGTGTCCTGCTGTCCATGAAAAATCATGGTTATGGTTTTCCCATCTCTCCTTCCAAAGTTACCATTGAGATTTTTCCAGCCTTTGCTGCTATTTATACTATTTTTATCTACTCTTTTAAATGGTAGTGGTCCTATCTTCAGCCAGGCTTAATCACAGTGAGGTTTTCTCTACTAGGTTCTTATTTGTGACAAATACCAAATCAGAAAGAATATTTTTGCCGAAGTAATCAATACTGTTTTAGTGGGTACCACTCACCCTCCGGAATAACTGCTGACTATGCCAGTTAATGTCAGAGTACAATGCACTCTGACCAGGTTCTTTTAGATATTCCATGTGTTAAGGGCTTAGTGAATAACACAGAATTTTCTTATTTGAAATTACTTGACATTACATGGGATTTCGATTTAGCGGAGTGATACAGCAATGCACTTAAATCACAGTTAAGGTACAAATTATGTTTAGCAGAGTGTAGAATTGTAATATACAGTTCAATGACAATACAAGAAAAAATCACGTTGAGCAAAGTGTAGTATTTGCAATACACAGTTCAGTCACTAAACAAAAGTGAATTTTATTATGGGATTCTCATGGTATGCTGAAGGACAATCAGAGTATGCCGGTATCTAAATGCATCTTTCAGGTCTGTCAAATTGTCTTTTAAAAATGGTTTTTTTTTAACTCTGAATTTTTCTGGCTTCTGAGAAGATTTTGAGATCTGCTACAAATGGTGTATTACACTTTTTGATATTTAACTTTTTTAATGAAGCACCCCATTGTTTTTTTTGGGATCTGAACCTTATTTGATCCAGGAGCTCCTGGACTCAGCCTCTAGAACTCTGTTGTATTTACGTACAGTTTTTATGAGAACTGAAGTATTAATAGATAATTTGGCAATTAGACTCTATAGCGAAAATGTATACAAACTTTGCAGCACTTTTACTGCATGGTATCATACAAGAAATTAAATGTCTTGAACAGTACAATAAATTAAAAAGGTTTTATTTTCATATTTTGCTATTAAATCTATGGCTTTCATTATGGAAAGAAAAAAGACAATTTCTGAAACTGAGTTTGCTGATACACCACAGGAACAGTAAAGTTTGGAAGTTACAAGTCGTTTTCTCTTACTATCTTTTTTTTTTAATTCTTATTTTTTTTTATTATCATTATTATTATTATTTCCTCCAGGACATTTTAAACTATAGCTAATGCCTCCCAGGGCTGAGATTATGCTCAACTACCTGAAAAATAACAGATGCTGCTGTGCTCTTCATAGCGGAGAATGCTGCCTTAAAAAGCCAGGAAACATCAGTGGAACATAACCCCAAGCAGCAAAATCGTTGTTGAGATTGGCAAAAGCAAATTGTACTGTATTAGTGTCTATGGCTTTTCACATCTGCCAGGTTAAATCAGCAAATACTGGCAGCAGAGCGTTCTGCAAATGGCCCAAATGTTTTCTGTCTGATAATTTGAGTTTAACTTAGTAAGCGAAAACTGTTCAAAGCAATAGTATTGTGTGTCAGAGCAAGTTTTCCACAAACTATTAAACGAATAACGTTAGTGAAAATGATCACTTCATTCACTTGCTCCCTTGGAAAGCAGCATAGTAACTTTTTATAAGTACTTTGCTTTAGAAGGAGTTTCCTTTGTATCAACACACATTCTGGGCTGTAATTTTCTTTTTGTCTACACAGTTTGTTTTAATGAATTGTTTCACTTTTCTTAAATATGTGAAGGGGTACAGATGCATATAAATAACCACATTCATGAGAACTGGTATCGCTGGAATTACATGACAGAGATTAATTGATCCTATATAAATATGCTATTTAGGTACAAATAGAACAGAACTATGAAGAAGTGTAGTACTGCTAATCACATTGTAGTATCAGTACCACTATGTCTAAATGTGTTCTGGTTTAAGCCCCCCCTGGCAATCAAGTACCACAGAGTTGCTCACTCACTACCCCACCAATCAGAATGGGGAGAGAATTGGAAGATTCTTTATAACTATTCACTGGCAGGGCAGTACAAGAAACAGAAAGTGCTTGACACTGTTCAAGCACTGTTCAGCAATAGCTAAACCATCTCTGTATTATCAAGACCATTTTCAACTCAAATCCAAAACACATCCGTGTACTAGCTACTGTGAAGAAAATTGACTCTACCCTAGCCAAACCCAGTGTAATATGATACAGTAAGGTTTATATCGACTGTTGTGCATCTATTTAAAGTCATTAATTGTATCATTGAATGTTTCCTCTTTTCTTTTGGAAAAAAGAGCACTTGGTCTATCCCCTTAGGAAGCAAAATATGTAACCTAATAATGAATGGATCTGCTAGAGTAATATTACAGCAAAGCATTTTACTTGCAGTGAAATAAAAATGCCCTGGGTGTTTGAGATTTGCAACCACTATTAGCGGTGACAGTAAGGAGGTGCTTAGGAATATGCTGCGTTACATCATTGAGTTAATACATTTTTTTGGCTGGTATTAATCCATTTTAGGCTTCATCATGAATAACAGAAGTTTCAAGCAATAGGCTTCATTCTTATAAGAGTATTTAAAAACCACGTGCATACTAAGAAACTTATGTGATAAGCTTTCCTTGGGAGGCTAGAAGAGGCAGGAATGTCACTCTCGTGTGAAGGCAACTCCATGTAGTGGAGTTAAAGCATAGACAAAAACAGTATTGATGTATTGATAATGTGTTTGAATCCAAGTAGCATGTATTGTCAAAGTGTGTCCGGTAAAGGGTTTTGAACTCAGTTTAAAGATATGACCAGCTTTGAAGGTTTACATCTTATCCAGGAAATTTCTGGATCATTTAAACCATAGTACCTAACACTGTAGCAGAATTCAAGTCAGTCTTCTTATTCATAAATACAATTTAAGTATCGGTGCTTAAGAACTGAATGCTATGTTCCTTCTACCAGAGTCCAGTACTCTCTGACCTGGTTCTTTTAGGTGTCCCACATGAGAAGTATTTAATATTTAATACCAAATATACTGTAGCATGTATGATGTTACTTAAGATTTTGCATTAGCAGAGTGATGCAACAATATACTGAAATCACAAAACAAGCACAAGGTAGTAGTTGCAATATACAGTTATATCACAGTACATGTGATTCCCATTACTGGACTGTGTGTGCTTACTGTCACGTGACTGAAAGTGAATCAGATAATTATAGTTTTATATTAAGCAATACTGAATTCCTTGAAGGAGCACTTGTATTTCAGGCTAAATGTAGCATTTGCACTAGAATGTTGTGTGAGATATTTATTTTTTGTAGCTGTAGCAGTGGCCTCAACTTTAAAGATAATATTTGTTTTTTCTGTGGGAGTAATTACTATATCTAAAGTGGAGTGCTGTTATTCAGATGGAGATTAAACAACAGGAATAGATCAACTGAAGACTGTAAAGATTGTTCTTTGAGGATTTGTCAGTGTGTCTATGTGTTATGCATGAGTGTGCAGTCTCTTGAACAGTGCTGTCAATTGAGGTGCAAATGTAAATTGAATTTCCTTGTCATGGTTAGCAGGTTCAACTCCTGTATTTTTCTTTTATGCTCTCTGACATCAAGATGTATTCTGTACTATAGTTGAGTTGAAGTTTCTGTATGAAAGAATATTGAGAATGTATTACTCGCTTTTATCTTGATTAACTCTTAATTTGGAATGTAAGTTTCATGCTGAAAAGCTGAAAAAAGCAAATGGCACATCAGAGTTCACACAAGAGAATTCTGTTGCACATCTCTGCAGAGTCCTGTTCATGTACTTACTGTCAGTGAACTGTGAGGAAGTGTCAGGAACTTGATCTGGGTTACAGCAGATGTGGAAGTCAAGATAGATTCCCTAGCTCCATTTCATGTGCTGTGTGAAGAAAATGCTCTTCATAGATGTATATTATGTTTCATATCACTGCATTGACTGACCTGAATCTTTTGAATTGCCTGTCTTCGGCCATTGGTAGCTGCTCTTAGAGCAAGGTCAGGTTATCACAATGAAGGTTTGACTGAATAATGACATATCGTAGAGTGTTTTTGGTTAGCAGCATTGCATAAGTGACTGTTCATCTAAACTTGCTCTACCAGCACTGAGAAAGCATTTTCAGGCTCTTTCAGAAAAATGTGGATATGTGAAACATTGTGTTCTTAGAGCTTCTTGAAGCATTACATACTGATCTTATAAAATAGATGTTTGATTTTTGGGGAGGCAGTGTATGAGTTTCTTTTACTGTGGGAATAGATGCTTCCTCTACAGTTTTTGCAGGTTTTGATTACTCGGATTTGGCAGTGATCCACAATTCAACTAGAAAGTATGCCTGTTTATGACAGTGGAGTTTCTGAATCTTTCAGTCAGTATGGACACCACAAACAGTTCTCTGTTCTTAGTCTGAGAATCCTCAGTTAAGGTGGATTTTGAATGGAGCCAACTGGATGGTGCAGTTGCCTTGTGTCCTTCTAACAGACACATCTGATCAAAGAAACACTGAGCTCACCTGAGGCACCTGAATGTCTGCCCTGAAACCTCATGCATCAGTGGGAGTTGGGAAAGTAAATTTGTTTTAGGCTAAGTCACTGATTGCTCTTCAGCTAAGTAGTGAGTAGTGAAAGGAGTCAGTAAAGACAATAAGAGGAAGTGAGAAGTACTGGATAAACAGAAAAAAAGTAGTCTAAAAATTCCCCAAGTTTTCCAAGGTTTTTTTTGGACATAAATAAGACTTTAGTATTATCAAATGGACAAGTGAAGAAAGGCTATGAACTATACTAAGACAGCAGTGTTTCTTACATCAAGTGCTGTGGGTTTTTTTTGTTTGTTTTTATTGCATGTTCTGGATAACCAGATTCTCAGTTTGTATTCATTGTGCATAACTTCTCTGACTACATGGAAACCAGGAAACTCCACCTATACTGCCAGAGGAGCTAATCTGGAAATTCTTACTTGAGCTGATATTGGTGCACTTTGGAAAAAAGCACACAAAGTGCAACTGCCCAGGTTCTACTGATGTAGAATATTTGTAGAGAAGATTCCATATTTTGCCTGGTGAGGAAGTTGTTTTAAGGCAGCATTGTTGTCATATTCTGTCATGGGAGTCATGTACTCTGTAACTTTTTTTTTTTTTTAAATATCAATTTCTTTGACATTTGATTATTTCAGTGGATGGGTTGGTGAATGTCGATTATAAGGAGATAAATTAATATTTCTGAAGCCCTTGAAAGGTTATGTCTTATGCTCAAGGGTGCTTAGGAAATTCCTGAGGAGAACTGAAATTCACTAGCCATACACAGTAGTGATAACAGAGGATCAAACAAAGCTTGATCCTTAAGAACATCTATTCTGTCTACTCTTAATTTTATATCCCATTAGTGTAACATTCCTTTAAAAACTACTGGGTTAGGTAGTCTCCCTCTGAAAGGAGGAGGGATATTTTTCCTTTCCAGTCATACCTCAGAGGAGGTAGAAGGCAGAATTAGAGATGATAGAGATGGGGGCAGATGAGTGTTTGCTTCTAGTCAATAGCTAACTGGAATAGTTGTCCTAATCATAAAGTAAAGGAGAAAATAAATTTACTAAGATACTGTTAAATTTTTTTGAGATTGTGAAAGATGCAGTCTGGTACATGTGTGTATGACAATTTGTCCCTGGCTTCATTCGGAATGAGGTTTGAAAATAAGTGCAGAACTCTTGAAAGCAGCAAAATGCTGCTAAAGGCCAGCTGTCTCCTGCATTCTTTTCAACTTCTTGGTTGGGGAAGGATTTGTAAAGATCACACAACAGGGAACTGAAATTATGGGGTTTATATGCAGTTAAGATATAAATATTGTTCTCGTCAAAAGCAGAACCAATATAATGATGAATTCAGCAATCTGCTGTAGGCAGTGGAAAGCCAGAACACTGTCTGAGGGAACTAGAGTTATCATCCTAGAATGGGTTCCAGGACTGGAAATTGGAGAATAGGTTTTTGAATAAAGGAGAGCATAAGAGGCTGAGGTTCAAGGTGGAGGCTTCAACTCTCATGGGGGAATTATTCAGCAGTGATAAGGATGTCAGTTTCAAAGAAGTGGATAATAGATATGGAAGATGTTACAAACCTACACAACAAATTTTGTGTGCCTCTTTATTTTCTTCATGAAGCACAATCAAGCTCTGTAAGTTCACAAATATAATGAAAGTATTTAAAATAATGGCAGTATAAGCTCCTGAAAGAAAACAATGTGAAAGGAAGAATGAAAAAAAAGTCAGTAAAGTGGAATCATGAGACTGTTCTGTAAGGGAAAATTTAAATAGATAGAAATGGAACTAGAGGAATAGATTTCAGAGCTTTTTGTTTTACAGTTCTTTAAAATTGCAAGCAATAGAAAAAATATGATTGGACAGAATATTTTTATCTAAAAGGTTTGTTAAGCTTTTCACTTGTAAAACAAGTAATTAAAAAAACTATAAAAGTAATGCTGGCATTTTACATGTTCATCTTTTCCTTCTGTTCAGCTATTTCTTCACTAGTGTTCTTTTGAAGCTAAGTTATTCACCACAGAGCTCTGCTGCTGAATATTGACAGCTTTTTTTTCAGCTAGAAAAATCCTTCTACCTGAATTATTGGCAATATTTATTGAATTGATAGTAGTTCTCTACAGAAACTATAGAAATGGATTAAAATTCACGTATCGAATATATTAATTAGTTTATTTTTACTACGTTTGACTTGCTTGTAGACAGATATTTTAGTCAATATTTTACTCAACAATGATAAAATATTGTCAGGTTTATGGTGGTTCTGTAGCAACGTGTGACAATTTTTCATAGGAGACCCATAAAGCTGCTGCCTTTTCATAAAGTGAAGGTGGCAGTCACGAGCTGAAGGAATGTGATGAGTCAGCTTAATGTACTTCATTAAATATTCCTCTTTTGTTGGAATTTTCTTCTTCTAAACTAAACAATTTTTCTTAAATACATCATTAGAAGGGGACTATATGCTATAGACTTTTTTTTTAATGTGAAAATTTTATTCAAAACTTTTCACATTTTCCTTTCCACATTCAAGTTATGATTATTCTAATTGACACCTACATGTCTTCTCATTGATTGTGAAAGATTTAATAGGCACTGTCCTGCCTGTTAAATGCATATCCTGCTAATTCTTTTGAGATTGTAGTTGTTCCCCAGTACTCCCTGGCTATTAAGTTTGCCTCTTTTTCCCCTTTGGAAAGTATTAGTCTCCATAACGAGGTGTGAGGTGACATTCTGTGTGAATAGAGTGATTTGTGTGGTGCTGCTTGGACAGGAATGCAACATGTTCCATCCATAAGGAATTTAAGACGGAGTGCATGGAGTGATAGGGGATAGAGATTGGAGGGATTAAGGAGTAGGAGAGTGAGACGTAATGTTGTGGATACGAATACAAATTGTAAACAGCAGAGGTAGTGGTATGCTTTCTTATGCTGTATGTGGAGCAGTCAGCTCATGACAGAGGTGTCAAAGCAGTTAATTGTGCACCTGTCCTGGCACAACATTCTTTTAGACTTCTGCACCTGTATTGCCACACAGACTTCCTATAACACTGTTTGATCTTTGTTAGTGCATGTGACAGACTCGTTGTTTATCTTCATTCCATGACTAGAATATAACCAGTTGTTTGTTTTCTTTAAGAACTGCCTGAGACTACCTTAATTGAAGAGAAAGTTCAGGAGACAGAGGCATGGGCCAGGCCTCTGGTCTACCTTTGGCAGACAAGAGAACCCAATTTCAGTGCTGAAAAAGAATACAATGCAGCTTGTGCAAAAAAGGAACCTCACTGTGCCATTTGTGCTCTTCTCATGCCATACTATAAGGTAAGCAAGATTGTTGCAGCTCCATCTCTGGATGAAGCGTGAAATAACTGGCTGGCTACTTAATTTCCAGTAAACTATAAACCAGATAAGCTTATGCATTTCATTTGTAAGAGAGGTAAATAAACTCAAAATTGTTAAAATTAGAACTGGTAGTCTGTTCCACTGCATCTCCCCTTGGCTGCAGACAGTGTATGCCTTTACTACCATTTATGCAAGATTGGTGTTACTGTGTGTGTGCTTGCCCTTGAAATTTCAGTTTTTGAGGTGGTGAACTCTAATAGGTTTGCATCTTTTAGCTATTTCCTTAAATGGCCATCTTCAAATACTTTTTATGAGAGCCTCTTTTATGTTGCCTTCCTTCAGTGCTGAAGAAGTGTTTTCACAGTACTTAGGCCTTCTTGGGAAAAGTATTACCACAGAAACAGTCTAATGCAGAGCAGTGTTTGATGCTGCCTTGTGGAATTAATGTGTCAAATGTCAACTAAAAATGTTGTCGTAGTACTATATTACTGATTCTGAAGCTGCTAAGCTGGAATTTCCTCAGCATGGGAACCAGGAAAAAAACATTGCGCTGGACTGAGTTCAAGGGCTCAAGAGATACAGTATCATCGAACACCACTGCAATAACAGTAGTTTGCAGTCTGAATTCTATTCTAGAGTTCTCAGTTATTTTGAACAATCAAGATAGAATGGCTGTGATAAATACCTAGAAGTAGGTAATTTCCTCATGAAACCGTTACACTGTTGATGCAAAAGTTGGGAGGGGAGGATCAGTTTCATCATGATCAAAAGGAACAGTAAAACTCCTTTCTTTTACTTAAATATAAATTTTGTTTATTTTCCAGCCAGACAATCATGATGAAGAAGGTCCTACTTTCAGGGAAGCAAACTCAGCAGGAACACTGATGGCAGAAAATGAAAAGACTAAACCTCTTATTCCCGGGATGTGTTTTATTTATAGTGAAGAAAACACTGAAAACTATCCATCAAATGCCTTTATTGGAGAAGATGGAACAAGTCTTCTGATTTCCTGTGCAAAGTGTTGCGTACGGGTTCATGCAAGTAAATAATCTAATGGTTCTGTTGGCAGAAATGTAGTTTCAAATTTTCTTTTATTGATAAATAATAGTTATCTAGGCTTCTAACATGGCTCTAAAAGTACTTGGCAAACATTTCCATTTGTAATGCTTCAATCACTGTCCAATTTTTTTTGAAAAGTACATTAGATTTTCTATTACTTTTTAATGGTTACTGTGAAAATATTGAAGACTTAACTTTCCTGGAAACTTTCAATAATCACAAACTTATGATTCTTGTTTCTATTCTGAGCAACTAAATTACTCTTTTACTTCTCATATTTTAAACCACTGTGTGATGTTAGTATGCCCTTACTAAGTAGTCAGGGTAAAATTCTGCTGGAGAACTTGAGAATATTCCTATTAACTTTATGTAGTAATTTCTTTCACCTTACATTCTTTTTTATTGCAAGAGTTACTGATAAATGCATGGACTTACTGCAGTAAGTTCTAAAGGCAGTAGAAATTGAATAGGTAACGCTAAAGTCCATATGATATTCAGAAATGTGGTATAATTGCATAGGTATCAATATATTAAGTAAAATTTTTACTGCAGGGAGAATTCAGGATTTGCTATTGTACTGACAGAATTAAGAAATACCCTGCGATCTGGGGTTTTGGGTGTTTGGGGATTTTGTTGTTGTTTGTTTTGGTTTTTAGTTTGGCTTTGACTTTGTGGGGTTTTTTTGTTGAGTGAGGATTTTTGTGGGTTTTTTGTTTTGTTTTGTTCTGTTTTTGTTTTGGGCTTGGGTTTTTTTGGGGTTTTTTTTGAGTTTTGGGAAGATATGTTTCACAGACTATGGAATTAGCAGACAGCCTGGATTGGAAAAACATCTCCTTTGTCACAGGACATGTGCTCTACTATTGTTTATATACAGTTGAAGTGTATGATGTTATTAATAGAAAGAATATAATAATCAATACAGCTCTCTTGTTCTAGGTTGCTATGGCGTTCCTTCTCAAGAAATCCATAATGAATGGTTGTGTTCGCGATGCAGAAAAGAGGCCTGGACAGCTGTAAGTTTCACGTGTTGCTTAGCTATCTAAAGCATTACAGATTAAGGGGAGGGGAAAAAAGTAGCACATGCATTATTTCATGTGGAATACAGCCTGCATATTTTTTCTGAACACTCTTGCTAGAGAAAAATTATTTGTAAAATATGATGAGATTTCAATGTAAAATGTAATGGCATTTTGATAGACAAAACTGGAATAGTTTTATAGACTCATGAAAAAGATTGACTGACAGAATATAGTTGTGTGAAAAATGTTGTTCAAGGAAAGAACTGAAAATTAAGATGCTCATAAGAGAGAAAAAAATGAGCTTTCTCCTAAATAGGTATAATCCAGTTTTCATCTTTCATTGTTTACCTGAGTACCTTGTTACAGCTTCTTTATCAGACAGTCATCAGTTTCAGGATCTCCTGAAACATATTTGTGACTACTGTTCTAGAGTAAGGGGAAAGTTGATAGGAAAAACACAACTGTGTTCTAGCAAGTGACAGGTTGCTATGAGCTCAGAATTTTATTATCAATTAAACCAACAGGGTCAGAAAGCCCTGGTACTCTGTGAAAAAGTTTTGTTAATTTCTTTTCAGGGAAGATACAGCTTATGATTTGCAAGCATGGGAGTTCTAAGGAGAACCATTCTTATTCATGAAATACCATGCACGACAGCAATAGGACTGAATACCATGTTTGTGTTAAAAAACACTGAAAAATTTAGTATGTTGCCTTGGAACCTGATGTTAACTTAATATATAACGGAAATGCATTTGAGGGGAAATTTGGAGAGACTCTTTGTCTTTTGAGTATAGTATATTTTTTTAAAAGCAAAAGTCACTAAAAAAAAAAATAAACCAAAATTCAGTCTTATAATTTGTTAATGCTGTGTTGTAGAAAGGATTCTAAAATTTTTCTGGAGTCTAAGAATATTTTACAAATATTCTTGAAGTGAAGAGGACATTTAGCATTGGTAAGTGAAAGATAAGAACAATAGTGAGGTGACTGACTTGATTCAGATTCACTATGGATCAATAGTAGAGGAACTTGATAATATGATAGAAAAAAAAAATTTGGGGAGAATATCAAAGCTTGACTTGGCAAACTTTTTTGAGGAAAATTAAAACCCATGGAAAACATTAATTTGAGAAGAATTATTCATGTTTTACTGAATATACTTAGTTCTGTTCTGTTATGATGCATACAAGTTTCTGAAAATAAGAAAGATCTGAATTTTAGGGAAAGTAATTTTAGCCAAATTATTTGAGGAGATGAGATGAAGCAGTAAAGAGATATCAAAACCATACAGAAGATAGCTGAGTGGAAATTTTATATGATGAGGTTTTAGAATTGGATTTTTGCAAAAGCACACTCTAGGAACTGGAGAGAAGGCCCAGTGTATTCCTATAATTTTATATCTTGGGTAACAAGAAGGTAATAGGGCTGAAATGGTGCACCGTTCTTACCGTGCAAAGACTAGACAGTGTATGTTGGCAGTCCGGACAATTTATTTTATATAAGCTTTGCCTATTATATATTCAGCTGTATTGCTGTGACTTTATGTGTGTATTGATTACTGTACAGCTGAATCATTAGTGCCAACAACTTCATCTTTCTGTAGCTCTGTTTTGGTAACATGAGTGAAATGAACTTGTAAAGTAAGAGAGCTCTTTGTACAGACATGTTTGTGTAAAAAAGTTCCATTCTTAATGCCTTAAATAATTTTTAAGTTGGAAAGTTTTAATGAAATATCTGAGATTGAATATACCTCATTAGTATTACATTTACTTACAAAGTTGTCCTCCAATCTGCCATCTTGTAGTCTTCATTATTACATGCCATTCACATGTAAATGTGAACTGTTCATTTTCACCTGAAAGATGTAGGAGAGATAGATAGTAGGTATGTGTTACCTGAGTTAAATAGCAGAAATCCAGCTGTTTAAAGGATGTGAATAATGCTTTGTTATATACTCACACATGAATGATACACAATTCACTTTTTCTTTTTTAATAATAGTGTCTTTCAGAAGTCTTGAGATGCTGAAGCAATCTCAGAGCTATGTAGTGATTACTAGAGTTTGCAGAGCTTAGCTGAGGTGACATCAGCTTTTTAAAAAGGCAAGAAGTGAATGACCCGAGGAAGTAGGTGGCAGTCAACCCATCAGGGATACCAGGAAAAATACTGATAGATCATCAATTTCTAAAAACCTAGACAATAACAGAATACAAAGAGATATGTATTTAAGACAGATCGTGGGAATAAGGAATAAGCAAAAGATTTCATACATCCTAACTTCAAATGCTTTTGATAGTGTTTTAAATTCTGATATAACAGTAACAGAAGACATACATTGAAAATTAATAGTTGCCAAACATATAGCAATACGGATTTGCTTTCAACCCTTAATATCTCAGGCCACCAGCCATCATTCTCATCAGACTCTTAAAACTGAGAGAATGATAAAAGTTTGGGCATTGTTTGCTGATTACTTTTCATACCCTTAAGATATGTAGAAATCTAGACTGGTCTACTTTAAGCCGTTTAAGATGATTGCACAGGAGCTGAAGGAGTATGCTTCTTGTGAAGCTGCCAAAGTGTTAAACTATATTGAAGAAATAGTGTAAAATAAATCATATGGAATTCAACAGAGATAGATGCAGTACAATCGTCGGTTATGCACACATAAGATGGGAATCTGTACCTAAGCTCTGGTTGCCAACTGCAGTTCTGACCACTCTGGTCACAAACTGAATGTAAATCATTAGCTCTGTAGAACCTGAAACATCACATGAGGATGTTTAAGGCTTGTCATAGAAGCAAAGTCTGAAAAAAACCACCATGGAACAATCTTTCTGCTCTCTTCAGTTTTAGAGAGAGCGCAGCTGAAGAACTGCATCTCATAGTGAACATACAGGGCTGAAAAAACCATGTGCTTGAATAGGATGGAAGGAAACAAGAGTTGCAACTGAAAATAAACCAAAATTCTTTTAATCATTCCTAATAGATCTCAATCATGCCATAAGGGAGAGTTGAAAAGATTTAACCTTCTTAGTATAGCCAGGGGAAAGCAGAAAGGAAAAAAGTTGCATTCAGTCATGTAAAATTATATGTGTATGGCTAAGAGTAATACAATCAATTCCCATTCTCTCATTTTAGGGATATGATGACTTGTAGAGGCTTTAAGTTGCATCAGCAGAAGTTAATATCAGGACATTTTATGAATTTTTATTTGTAAAACTAGCGTACCATAAGAATAGGATATACATAGATTTTTACAGAAGGTACTCCTTCACAATTTTTAAAAACGTGTTAGATAAACATTTTTTCAGGAATAGTTGAAGAAGACTTGATTGTGCCCTGAGGCAGAAGGATAAAATAGACAGTGAACCTTTTTTTCTCTAGTTCTCGTTTGCTTGTTTGAACAGTATTACTCATTGCAAAGCATTGTGATTGTAGTTATCTTTGGAAAAAAAATTATCAGTTTGATATGCAACTTAAATATATTAATATATTTTTGCTTGTATGGAACCTTATTCCTGACATCAGTGTGATAAGAATTGCTGATACTTATTTGGTCTTATTTATCATTTTAGGATAATATTTTTGTCCCTTCAGAGTTTGGACAATAAGCCAAGATTATCCTAACAGCTTTCACTTCAAAATAGTACAATACTTTTATGTAATCTTGGCATTATACTTAAGATAGTGTGGTTCTCTTTTAACCAATCTTTTGTATATATGTTAAAAAAGACAACTGAATTAAGTACTATTTTCCCTTTTGAAAATCTGCAATTTATATTAGTTTTACCAACCTGAAGCTTTAAATTTTGTGCTTCGAGTTAAATGCATATGTTTCTTTTCTGAATCAATTTTTAAATTTTTATGACTTTTTCATATAATCATAGAATACCAGGTTGGAAGGGGACCTCAAGAGTCGTCTGATCCAATCCTTTTTGGCAAAAGCACAGTCTAGACAAGGTGACCAACACCTTGTCCAGCTGAATTTTAAGTGTCCAGTATAGGGAACTCACCACTTCCCTGTGGAGGTTACTCCAATGGCTGATAGTTCTCAGTGTGAAATTTTTTCCTTTTGTGTCTAATCAGATTGTCTCCAGGAATTACTTGTACCCATTACCTGTCATCTTTTCCGTGTGACTCCTTGTAAGAAAGGTAGTCTTCATGTTCTTTGTAGCCACCCTTTAAATACTGGCACCTCATGATAATGTCTCCAAAGCCTTCTTTTCTCATGACTGAACAAACTCAGTTTTCTCAGCTTTTCCTCATATGACAGGCTTCCCCGTCCTTTGATCATCTTTATGGCCCTTCTCTGGACCTCTCCAGTGTGACCACACCTTTTTTGTATAGTGTGGACCAAAACTGAACACGGAATGAGTTTTCTATATCTCTTGTTATACATATGTTATTTTAATTGTATTTTAAATTGCTGTGTAGTACCATAAGTCTCTCTTGAGAGGGAGGTGAAATTAAAGAAAATTACTTATTTGCGTGACTTTTTTTTTTTCTATAGGGAATATAGAGTGAGTGTATTTTACATTCCAACTGACACAGTTCAGACTTCAAGTTTCTATATGAAACAAATTAAAAAAAATCATATTTATCTAAATATTTGTTCAGGATAAGCATAGCTAAAAAACTGCAGCTGTTGCAGAAGATCTGAAACAGATTTAACTCTGACTTCCTGTGGGAATTATATATATGCATGCCTTCCAACATTCAATTTTTGTATCAGGAAAGAGAACAAAATGAGAAGATTTAATTAGGAGGAAATACTTATTCCCTGAAACTTCAACTTCCTGGATGCCTGAAATTGTTTTCCCTCCTCTTCACATTGATTCCTAGAAGGAGGAGATTTAGCAGAAGACGACCTGACTGAGAAATTCCCTTCTGGGTAAGACATTAAATCCTGAAGGGAAGGTTGATTAGAAAACAAGGAAAAAGAAAAGTTTTGTGCAATGAAGAATATAATGGAAGTTAAGAAACTTTGGTGCAAC